AGCTACTTATTAAGAAATGGTTCCATAGGATAAGTTTTAAGAGAGAAAAAAATCCAGAATTCATCTTTGCATTCTAATTGGAAATTAAGCCAATTGTTTTAACTAAAGGAAATTCTTGGATGTCAAGTTCAACTATATCATCCACTGAGTTTCTAACTTAAAGCACAAGAGGAGTTAAAGATGCCCAAGAGTTAAAGGTTCAGTGCAGCCAATGTAATAAAGTTAATGACATCTAAGAAAGGCATGATCAACTGAAATGGCAATCTTTCCCCCTGAGCCTGCATAAATGTGTGTGTTTAGAAAGAATGATGAATATTCTTACAGTTAGGACAATATCTTGCCAACACATATTTAACCTCTATTTCATTCTGCCAAAATGCAGGTACTCTTCTCACTTACTTTTACCTGCTTTTTATACATATAAAAACTTGCAAGTGTTGGTTCAAAACACTCACAGTTCACACCATCCAGTAGCTCTGGAAATTACTCAGCTAATCTGCAATTTAGGATTAGCCTTGCTACTGGTTCTTATCTGCTTATACACCAATGATGCAAACAAATTGTGTGGGGATTAAAAAATATGAAAAAGCATGTCTTACCACCCATATCAAAAATTAATTTGTAACAGAAGGATAAATACAAACTACCAACGCTCAAGTTTACAGGCTGATGATCCATAAACATCTCATTGTGCTACTTCATTTTCCAATTAATTACTGAAATAAAAATGCAATGCAAATGTACTGCAAATACACTCTGGTGAGGATATCAACTGCCAACAGAAGACCATTTATGAATGATAAAACTTGAAGTAGAAACACAAAAAAGTCTTCATATTATGCTATTTAACTTGATTAAATTAAAGCTAACCAATTTTTACATTAAAAAAAGAATTGAACTACTATGTCATTCTATAATGTAGCTGTTACATCAAATTTGTAACTAAATTAAGTTGTTAAATTTTAAGAAACATTTGCCTAACCCACTAAGTTTACCTGAATCCAGGTAATAATAAGCCATAATATAACATCATCTGTATCTAGAAATATCACTTATTTTAAGAGTTGCACCTAAAAACTTTCAAGTCATGTATTAGAGGGAAAATTTCAATATAAGCATAAAAGGCATTTAACAAAATTCAATATCGTTTCATGATCAAAATTATCAACAGATTAAGTATAGAAGAAATGTATCTCAATATAATGAAAATTAACATGACAGACACACAGCTAACACCATTCTCAACATGCAAAGTCGAAAGCTTTTCCTCTAAGGCCCCCACTCTCATCACTTTTCAACATAGTACTGGAAGTCAATGCCAACGTGATTAAGAAAGATAACGAAACCAGAACAGGAAAAGAAGAAGTGAAATTGTTTCTATCTGCTAATAATATAATTTATATATAAAACACCCCAAAGTCTCCCCCAAAAAATAACTGCTAGACCTGACAAACTGATAGACTTGTAAAGTTGTAGGATACAAAACTAACATACAAAATCAACAGCATTTCTATGCACTAATAATGAGCTATCCACCAAGGAAATTGAGAAAACAATACCATTTACAATATCAATCAAAAATTAAACAGATATAAATTTAACTACAGAGAGAAAGGACTGTATATTGAAAACTGTAAGAAAAACTGATTACAAAATTTTAAGACAATACAAATACAATGAAAGATATTCTGTATTCATGGAATGGAAGAATTAACATTGTGAAAATATCCACAGCAGGAAAAGAAACAGATTCACCAATGGAACAAGATAGAAAATCCAGAAATGGCCTCACAGACTATGGTCAACTGATTTTGACAAAAGCGGCAAAAACTAACAATGGAGGACAGGGTAGTCTTCTCAATAAGTGATGTTGGGAAAACTAGATATCTACATGTAGGAGAGTGAAACTGGACCCTTACACCAAGTAAAAAAATCATCATCAAATTAGTAAATCATCAAAAAGACTTAAACATAAAATCTGAAACTATACAGCTATTAGAAGAAAACACAAGGGAAAAGTTCCATGACATTGGTGGGCAATGATTTTTTTTAATATGACCCCAAAAGTATAGGCAATGAAAGCAAAAATAGAAAAATGGTATGACATAAAACAGTAAGAGAAACAGTTGATAAACTGAAGAGACACACAGAATTGGAGAACACATTTGCAAACCATATATCTGATCACCTGCTTATTATCCAAGGTAATAAGTACTCAATTCAATACCAAAAATATAAGTAGATCAGTTTAAAACTGGGCAAAGAAACTGAACGCACATTTCTCAAAAGAAGATATATAGATGGCCTATAATTACATGAAAAAAAATGCTCAGCATCATTACTCATTACAGAAATGCAAATTAAAACCACAGTGAGATATTACCTCACATCTGTTAGAAGGCTTTCATCAACAAGATGGAAGATCAGTGTTGGAGAGGATGCAGAGAAAAAGGAACTCTTATACTTTGTTGGTGAGAATGTAAATTAGTAAAACCATTGTGGAAAATGGTACAGAGCTTCTCCAGAAAACTAAAACGAGAATTACTACAACCCACTAATTTCACTTTGGGATATACATCCATTAAAGCTAAAATCAGCAGTAAAAGGGATATCGGCATTCTCATGTCTGTTGCAGCATTTATCACAATTCCCAAGACATGAAATCAATCTGGCCATGACTGGATGAATGGATAAAGGAATATAAAAGGTATATATAAAGTATATATAAGGTATATATAAAGTAGAATACTACCGAGCAACCACAACAACAAAGGAAATACTACCATTTCCAACAACATGGATGAAACTGGAGGACATCATGCTAAGTGAAAAAAAGCCAGGCACTGAAGATAAATGTCATACGATTTCACTTATAATGAAGTCCAATAAAGTTTAACCCGCAGAAATAAAAGAGTAGAATGGTTACTAGAGGGTAAGGTTAAAAATAGGAAGGGAGGGAATGTGGAGTTGTTGATCAAAGGCAACAAAACTTCAGACAGAAAGGAGGAATAGGATTTGAGATCTACTATTACAGCCAGATAATTATAGTCAATAATCATATATATCTCAAACCAAGAAAATAAGTTTTATATGTCTCACTATAAAAAAATTATAGGTAAGAGATGGTGCATATATTTGATTTAATCTATGTATACATGCCACATTGTATACATAGATCAAAATATCACATTATAGCCAATAAATATTTACATATTATAATTTGTTAATCAATAGTAATATAAATTATTAAAATAAAAATAAACTAGGATTAAAGAGCCATTTATAAAATGAAGATTTATTGTAAGTGAACTACCTGCCCCTAAGTATTTTTAGTTTAAGAAACAAAGTTTCCTTAAAATAGTATACATAGTTACTTCTCAAGCTCATTAAAAAATAACCAAGAAATGGAAAAGTCATTAACTTTTCTTTCCCATTAACCCATTACCACCCCTGAAGACAAACATCCTGGCCAATGACCCATCTCCTGGCAGTAATACAAACAAAATATCTTTTTACATGACCTTCACCTCTTGTGGAGACCTGGGTAGGCTGCTCACAGGAATTAGGGCACTTCTACTGCCACTCTTGGGAATAGTGGATATAGGTGCAAGCAACCTGGTAAAGGCACCAGTCAGGAGACCTGGGCATAATAGATAAATTGGCTTCTTCTCTTGCTACCTTCCAACTCGGGGAACCAAGAAAGCAGCAGCACCCTATCTTTCCCACCTCTTCTAGTTCAATTTGCACTTAAAAGGACATTGGATGCATTAGAAGCCATGCTTCTAGAGTCGATTTTAAGCACTATGAGAGAAGGATTAGGATGAAATGGAATCCAACAACTAAATCTTAAAGTACAATATAGAAAATTTATCCCTTCACGGCACTGCTAAAATTGGCAGCCTTCTTCACCACTGTTCATAGCTGGTCACACCTAAAGACTCATAGGAGCTTTCATATATAAAGACCTCAGGTATTTTGAATGAAAAGCCCCACAGTTTATAAAACCAATTATTTTAGTTTCAACCTAACCAAAAGTAACATAAAAGAATTATAAAAGGTTTTTTTATTGTTCTGTTTTGATTTTGGTTTGGTTTTTATTTTAAGAAATTATTTCTTTCTCTCTTGAGTTCAAAGTGATTTCAGAACTAAGAGGCAGAAAATTAAGCCTCTTTTAAAAGGTTTAAAAGTTCAGGTTTAGTGCTGCCTCAGCAAATGTAGCAGGTGTCATGCTTTGAAAACCAAAGGAGAGTCCAAACACACCTGTACATTTTATACAGGTGCATTTAAATACCAAGAAAGATGTCTCCTGTAATGTAAAAGGGCATGCTCTTCAGAATATGTTTAAGGGACTTTGGTGAGATGGTAAGTGGGCCTTGAGTGAGTAGAAAAGGGAATCATTTGAAGCATTTTGGAAGCGAATAAAAGTCACAAATTCATGCTACCATGACCAACACAATGGAAAAAAAAGTCCTCAAGGTAAAAAAACATTTATAGGCATTTAAGCAAACCAGTCACCAAGCCTGTTAAGGGACACTACATTTCTTTTTAAATACTGTTTTCATAAAAAATATTTATTCCTTTGTGAACAAAATATTAACTGGATTCCAAAACCACTTGCATCCATTCCACAAGTGAACCCTAGTAAGAAATGGTATAAACTAAGAAAATACTTAACTTCAAAATGAAAAAATATTTTTATCTCCAATACTCATAGGTTTCAGTCTGGGAAGTGAAGGACCCAAGGAATCATTGCTCCTCTTCTCCTAACCCTTTACTCTCAGGCTTCCTCTAGCTTACTTGTCTAATAACTATGTAAAATAAAAACAAAACAAGGGGAAAAAAATATACTTCATGATTTCAGGAAAAATGTCTGCTTCTCCTCCAAACCGACCCCTCCGCCAGAACTTGCACATTCTAAAGTGGCTGAAAAGCCCTTTATCACTCATCACTCTTTACTTAGTCGCCCAGGAAAAGCAGCTCCGCAGCGCGTACTGACCCACCATTCATGCCACTGTAGACATTGCGGTGATGGGGCGATGCATCCTCCTGTGCCTGCCGTCTGAGGGTGCCCTCCCTGCTGCCTCCGCCACTGCCTCCGCCTCCTACGTGTTTGTGATCAGGGTTCCCCCCATAATGCTGTTTGAGATGCTCAGGGCTGGTGCCCCTGGCTCTGGGTAGGTGTTCCAGGCTCCCCCCAAGAGCATGTTTCTGAAGATGCTCCGGGCTCCCTCCACTATGCCTGGCATGTTCTGGGCTGCTTCCTGGCCTGTGCTTCTGGAAATGTTCAGGGCTCCCACTCAGCATGTGCTTGGGCAGTGTTTCTGGGCTGCTCCCTGGATGTGGATGCCTTTGCTGTTCTGGACTGCCCTTGCACAAGGGTTTGTGGTGCTCAGGGCTGGGTCCTTTGAGAGCTTTTGGGTGATCTGGGGTCCCAGAGACTCTGGGTTTCTGCAAGTGTTCTGGGCTGGCACTCCTGTGCTTGGAGTGCTCCGGGCTGCCCTCGCTTCGGGGCTTCTGCAGATGCTCCGGGCTGCCTCCACTTGCATGGTGCTTGTGGTGGTCGGGGCTGTCGGTGCTGCCAGTGCTGGAGGTGCTGCTGCCATCTCCCACATCCCGCACGTAGGGTGCAGTGGTGGCTGTGAGCTGGCACAGGCTGGCCTGGCTGTCGATGGAGCAGCGGCTGCCTGCACAGCCTGCTCCTTTCTCCTCATCCAGCAGCACACAGATCTCCTTGAGCTCCATGTTCTCCTTCACCACTTCCTCCTGCTTCACTTCCAGCTCCTTCAGCTTCTGCAGGTATAAGGCCACTTCCTTGTGCATCACCCCAGCTGTGTAGCGGCCCAGTCTCTGCCACTCCCGGGACACCCTTTTTCCTTTCTGCCGGTCATCATCCAGGAAACAGCAGAGATCCCTCAGTTCCTGGTTGTCCTCCTGGAGTTTCTGGTTGATATCCTGAAAAGAGACACACAACCATTCAAGGAAGTTACTCATAGGAAGCTTCATGCTCACACTCCTGGGATCAGGAGACCCTGGAACTGGAAAGTTCTCTGGGATGTTAGGGGGTGAAAGGGTGGAAGGAAGCTGGAGGTATGTAACTATCCATAAGTGTTGAAATGATAGGTATCAGTTTTGTTCTCTGCATAATACTTTATTATTTAAGTTTCACCAAAACACTCAGGAGATAAAAATTGTTGTTGTTTTACAGAAGGGGAAACTGAATCTCACAAAGCTTCACTTGTCCAGGATCATCTAGTCAGTATTTAGGGAGCAGCCAGTTAATTAATAAAAAAATCAGTTCATAAAAAACAAATACCCCTCATACACCCTCAGAAAAGCATGGCTGCTTTTGACCTATGAAATAACTAAAAGCTCTGTGACTGAAGGTCTTTCAACAGATCAAACAAAGCACTGCTTAGTTGTTCAGCCCACGACATGGAATGAGCCTCATTCCCCCCACCAGGGAAACACAGTTGCCCCCTAGTGGCATTTCAGTGGCCACATCCAATCCCTACTTGCTCCACCCACAGGGATGTCTCTTAGGTATCGCACTTAAGCCACACTGGGCTCTTGATATTCAAACACCCCTCCCCAAAGTGCACCTCTCAGCAAACGCTATAACCACCCATCCCATGCCCTTTATAAGAACCTGGGGTTATGCTGGGTACCTTCTCTCTCACTTTCCACTTCCAAACCAGTCTTTGGAACTCACCTCTAAAATTTATTTCATCTTGTCAGCCCCACATTAAAAACCATTAATAGTGGCCTACTGCCTTAGGATAAAGTGCAAACTTCTTCACTTCTTACAAGGCCCCAAATGATCTGACTCAGTCTGTTCATTCATAAAGATTTAGTAAGCACCTATTATGTATAAGGGACAAGTTCAAGTGGTAGAGATATACCAGAGAACATAGCAGAAAACTTCACATGCCACGGTTTTCATTCTGGTGGAAAAGAATCTCAAAAAAAGAAAAACGTATTGTCATGTAATGAAAAGCGCTGGGGATAAAAACTAAAAAAGTTTTTAAAAAGTTTTTTTTCAAGAGAAGACCCCACTACTGCAAGGAAGGGAAAGAATTGAGCAAAGACCTGGGTAAAATTAAGGAGCAAACATATAAGTAAGGATGATCCAGAAATAGGGCAAGCACACAAGCCCTGAAAAAAGAGATGGGAAAGGAAGTCTGAGAGGCATCAGGGCCTAAGGAGCATAGGGCTTGGTCAGCTATGGAAAGGACCTTGGGTTTCTGAAGACCTGAGATTAGAGGAGTGACAAGATATGATTCATTTTGTAAAGAACCACCATAGTTTGGTGTGGGAAAGTGACTGACTAGGGTTGGGAGGAGGAGAAAAGGGAGGAAGACAGGATAAGGTGGAGGATAGGTGACCAGTGAGGATGCTGGAGTGGTCCAGATAGGAGATGTTGGTGGTTAGATGAATGGTAGCAATGGAGATGCTGAGCATCACACACTGATGGCCACCAATCCTAGCTTTATTTCAGGTCAGAGAAAACCCTTCTCTTTTACTTGCAATGCCTTCCCCAGCCTTGTACACAACTGCCAGTGCTCATTTTATGTTACTCTTCCATTGAAGCCATTCTAAAGAAGGTCCTCACCTATGTTCCATATCATCCTTCCACTTTTCCTCTGTTGTACCTATTACAGTGTAACAGTATGTGTATGTATTTGCCTGTTAGTTCAAGTCTCCATCCTCACTGAACCCAAAGAGAATAGAAACTTCATCTACTCTATTCTTCTTTGTAGCTAGAACACAGCACTCCAACTGTAGACACCTGAAACTAGAGAATTTTAAAATATATTGTGATGTTTCCACTTACTCTCCACACATATAGTAAAAGAAGCATCATGGTTAGAGATGAAATGAGGTCAGTTATGGGGCTGCTACATAAGACTCACTCTGCTTTACAAAGCCTAAAAATCTCTAGTCTTAAACAATTCCATCTTCCAATTTAGAACTATAGATACTCAGAAAATGGACTTCCTTCTATTAAACTCAAATTGATTTCAACATGTCCCCCCCTGATACTGACTAGAAAATAAACTTTAAAATGTCTACTAATGATGTCCTTCATTTCCTGATAATCACAAAGCCCAAGATGGAACAGAGTTTCAAGGCCTGAAAAGTTAGTTTTCATTCACTTCCTATTCCAACTCGGCATGACCAACAACTCTGTTTCTTTGTTTCCAATGCCCACTGCTTCCTTTTGCTTTTCATGGCTATTTTATCACCTTAGGCCTGACCTTTGCCAAGAACCTTCCACCTGGCTTCTCTGCCTTAGTCTGCCCATTTTGTCTTGTCTTGCCTGCTCTAATCCAAGCAACCCTCAGCCAGACTGATCTTCAAAAAGGTTCCCCAAATGGTTTGCCTCTCTGCTCACCAATCTCCAGCAGTTTCCCTTTGATAAGGAAAATGAACACTTTGGCCACACCTGAAAAACATTCTCTTGCCTTTCTACCTTTGACTCTCTGTGGATGAATTAGGAGCCCTAATTATGCCTGTGCATTCCAGCTAGAAAATATCCCCTTTCTCACCCATATGAACTTACCTAAAATGAAAGATTCCCCAGGCAAGTCTCTCTGGCCACCAGAACACTAGCCACAGATATGCATAAGATCACACCTCATAAATAAATGAGGTAACTTTCTCACTCACTGTTTAATGCCTATAACAAATTTCAGCATTCACTGAGCATCAATTTTTTTTTCCTTTCTCATATAAGTATCTTAGCTAATGGAAGACAGATGTCTGATGTCTTTCTTTGCACAAGCAACATACCTGCCAAGATACCTTTTATACAGTAGACACTTAATATGTGTTTATGGACTAATCAATCTTTTAGAGCCCTAGGTTTATGGCCAAAACAGGTTTCAGCTGTAGCTACTGAGAAAGGATTTCTACTATTATTTTCAGCAAGCCCCTATTTTGGAATCTACAGTAGTAAGAGGAAAAATTATCTCTTGATATTGATGCCTTAGAGGAAATCAGAAGCTATGGCTTTTCAGAGAAAATAATACTAAATAAAATTAATCTTTTTAAGCTTCCAAATTTATTCAACATTCAATTTAATCCTGGAATTGAATAGGAAAATAAAGTCATGTTCTTTCTCATCCGAATGAATTTCTGTCTGAAACACTTTTGGACTCTCATCTGTTAGTCCTGGTATCTCCAGAAATACAAACAGGGCTGGTTCTGTCTTGGGCTTGGTGGAATTAAGGAGATGAACAGAGCCTTCTCCACATTCCAGACAGGGAGATGGCCAGAACAGGCCTATCCAACTTTATCACAGCTCCTTCTTCCTATTTTTAATTTTCTTGAGAATATTATTTACTTTCCAATGTAAAGCTGTGTCCTTCACCCACTGATGAATAGCTAAGCAATCTTGTGAGCCAGCTTCTTCAAATGTGTCACATTAAGACCTGGACTTTCTTCTCAAACCATTGGGTGCTCTTTTAACATCACCATAGACCACCAGATGTTATCCAAGTGTCTAACACAGACTTTTGTCCACTTTGTAGAATACTACCCAAAATTTCAATCTTATGACTGCAGACTATCAAGAACTATATCAGTAAAGAAGAACTGTTTTAATACATTCTTTTTCTTCATTGCAGAATGGGTGAGGGAGGCTAGTAGCAACTAGGAAAATGAATGCAATCCAGACAATAAATCTACAGAGATTGGGTTCCCAAAATCAACCCCTCACCAGCATTCTGGATCACAGTAACAGTCCAAAGAAATGGTTTTCAGGAATCCAATGCCTTGCAACATTAGCACCTTAATCAAAATGTCTTTTTTCCATCCCTTTGGGTCCACACATTCTAAGCAAAGAATATTAACTAGCTAAAATAAAAGAAAACCTATTTTAAACATTTTATAACTGTGTGACCTTGAGAAATCTATCTAACCTTGCTGAGGTTTCTGTATCTATGTATCACTTAACATTCATAAAACCTCATGTGGAATTGGAATTTAAATCCCCACTGATTCAATGAGAAAACGGAAGCTCAGCGAGGTTAACAGTTTGCCCAAGCTAACCAAATTGAACAGCTACAGTTCCACCTACTAGCCTTAAAAATATCTGGATGCAATTTCAAAGTCAGCTCACAGGAAGTGGCATTAAAAAGTGCTGTGGCCTTAATTACCCTACATTTGCAGTCAATTGAGAGTGCCAGACCATCAGAGGCCAAAAGTAAGATCCCTATTTTCCAATTAAGCCAAATAAATAAATACTCCTATCATTTATTTAGTCAACCACATGTATGGATCACTACAGTGTCCAAGAAAGCTCTGAGCTAAAATGATAAAGAAAAAAGAGACTGTAGGCCTCCTAGCAGAGCCTTAAAACCACAGGCCCCTCAGGCCTTGGTGTTACCACGTTGAAGCTACCCCAGGATGATGCAAAAAGGAATCCGCAACAGAAAGTAACCAGCTGCCATCATTTCTGAGCTTGATAAGGGGGTAGGCTAGGAAGTCTTTTCATGCCAGCTCATGAATCTAGACCTCTTTGCTGCTTGGGGTGTAAATGCTCTTAATTAGCCTAATAGCTATTTTCTAAATGATGCTACTGGAGTGAAAACCAGGCACCCCACCACCCATAGCACCCTTCTCCCACTCTCACATGGATTTTCACACACAGCCCACAGCAACCTGAAAGAATGCTCAAGAATTTGATTTATTAACTTGATTCTCTATATTGAGATCTTTAGGAAATTAGTTAATTAAAAACTCTTCCAAGTCACATTATTGTTCAAACCATGTTAAGAAGATTAAACTGAAGGCTGAAAAACATACTATTGTCCAGTTTCACCTAGGAAATCCAGATCCTGGAGATGTATAGCTATACAGTTATTTGTCCTCAACTGATGACAATAACCACTATATTTTGCAGTCAAGTTCAGTACTAAATCTTGCCCTACATTACTAATTTATCTTCACAACACTGTAAGAAATTACCATAATTTGCATTATACTGATAAATAAAATACAGACATGACAAATTACTCAAGCTCACCTTCCCGGCAGATGAGGTTTCTAGATTGGAACCCATTTCTAAGATCATCTTCCCACTATTTCAGCCTGCCTTTATTTCCCAAACAGCCTGGTACTTAATAAATACTCCATTAATAATGAATTAAAATAAAGAAGAGATCGAGGCTTGGGATATTCTGTCTGTGGGATCTTCCTAATTGCACCCCCTCTAGGGACCATGTGACGGAGAGTTTGGAACTCAGGGGAGGGCCATTTCCACTCAGACTGGGTGCAGCACACAGGGGAGTCCGGGTATCCCACCCCTGCCATTCCTTTGTCCCAGAATCCCAGGAGAGCACTGAGGCAATTAAGGAACCGGGTCTACCGCTGGAGAAGTGAGGTGGGCTTAGAAAGGGACAAGAACAGCTTGTGCCTGCGGGAATTTGCTCCCTAAGGTCCCCGCAGTTATTTCATTTGTGTCTGGCTTCCTATAAACAAAAGCAGAACAATGAGAGGAAGGAATACCGGGAGGCACCCAGCAAGCGTGTGGAGAGGAAGTTTGCAGTGTACGGCCGGCCAGCAGGGCGGTTCCCAGCCACCCGGTCCGCTGCAGCCTAGCAGGCACACTCGGAGCTCTCCAAGGAGAAGAGAAAGTTAGTGGGATTAGGAGTCTCCCTTTGTGCTAACGGCTGAGGGGCGGTTAGCTTGAAAAGAAAACATCACTAAGGGACACTCTGGGGCACCCTTTCAAAACCCTGCGCCTTCCACATTGAGTCCCTTGCGGCCCCACCCGACTCCTCCTCCCTTGCTGGGTGAAATTAAAATCCGACTGGGGGTGAACTGGGGAGGGGAGTATGCAATCCCAGGTGATCCCAGCCGAAGGAAGGCCAAAGAAAGCACAGCAGCTAGCAGATCTGAAGGCAGAATTTAAGGTCCTCTGCACCAGGTGACACACACTGGCTACACGGGTGGCACCTGCTGTTTCTATCTGGGCGCCCCGCCGGGCCCTTTCCTAGGCAGTGACGCCCTTTCCATGCCCTCTATTCAGCAAAACCTGGTGGCGCTAGAGCAGCCTTATCCCTGACCCCCAAAGGCAAAGCTGTCCTGGACCCGCTCCCTTGCTCGCCTTTTCTGATTGCCCATAACCTGGCTCCGCAAAGCATCGACTTCTCAGGTTCTGTAGGGAATTAAAGGTTTTGCGGGTCCGCCGTTTCCTCCCTGGACTTTCCGCATCGTTGGCGACCGCTCCTCTCACCTCGGAGAACCCCGAGAGAGCTCGAAGCTGGAGCGCCCCGTACGGGAAAAGGAGGGAGCCAAAGACTCCAAAGTTTGTAAAACTTTGTGAAGGGCTGAGGATGGGGCTAAAGGGTGCTGACTGGGAGACAGAGGCGGACCACCTGTTGATGGAGGGGAAGTTCGCCGCCCCCCCCCCCCCGCGCCCCCTCGCCTGGCTGGCGCTCACCTTGAGCCCGCGAATCTCGCCGAGGTGCAGCTGCAGGCGGCGGTTCACCTCGCGGATGAGGTTGCTATGGTCCAGCATCGCGCTCACCTTCTCGGCCTCGGCGCGCCGCAGGCTGCGGATCAGCTCCTCTTTGCTCCACTGCAGCAGCTCCTCGTCCGACACTTTGGACAGATCCTCCACGGCGGCGGCCGCAGATGAGCCCACCGGCGTTGAGGGACAACTTTCAGCCGCCGCCGCGCCTCCAGCCGCTTTAGACATGGTATCCGCGCGGTGGCAGGTGCGAGTGGGTGGAAGAGGCAAAGCGGCTCGCCACGGCGCGGGCGCAGCGGGGCCGCCTCCGCCCACAGCCTGTGCGCTCTGGAGTCACCGGCACCGCCCGGGGACCGCTGCGTTGGGGCGGCGGGGGTCGCGCAGGGCAGCCATCCTACCTCGCCATCCCCGCGCGTGCACCCGCGAATCCCCAGGGCCAGGCAGACAAGCGCGGATCGCTGCCTCGACCGGTTCCAACTCCGCCCAAGTCCATGGTGCTGGATGCCAGGGAGCCGGAGCCAACGCGGCAAAACCTTGGGGGTCCGGCAGGGGGAGGCCTGGGGAACTGAGCCCTCAAATCCCCTGCCTTCTCCTCCCCCCTAATCCGAGACTGTGCGCCCACACACTCTCACAGCCACACGCACTTTCCTCCCCTTGCCTAGCTGCAGCCGCCGGCTCCTCCCCTCTCCAACCGCGCTGGGCGCGCGAGCTCCTCGGCGCCTCCCAGGCTGCTCTAAGGCGCCGCTGCAGCTGCCCAAAGGGTTCAGCGCGGCTGTGGGATGCACTCCTCCAGCCGCCTGCGCTGCGCCTGCCACCACTTTTAGGTTGCTTCTGGAAGCCTCCGATTTGCCGACCTGAGCCAAGGAGTGGTAAAGGGTGGGGACCGGCAGGAGGAGGAGCCTGAAGCGGAGGGCGCGCGGGCCAGGCGCCGGTGCAGCTCGACTGCCACCAGGGTCTGGACCCCACCGCTATCCCGCCCGCGAGGGCTGGAGGAGCGGCCCCTTGAGCGCTGGGTGCGGGTAGGGTCGGTGTAAAGAGCAGGTGTGGAGCTGTGGCCGCCCGGACTTTAGGAGGCTCGCGCGCGCCACCGTGTGACCAAAGACTCTCCCTCCCCTGCCACCCTACCCCACCCCAGCCTTCGGGTGGGCTTGTCACTAGACTGGTGTCACCAGGCAGGGGAAATGGCTGCCTACCAAAATGAGAGGCGTTTCTTAATTGCAGGGACTGAGGATCAAAAAAGATGACGTAACAAGACTTGAGGAATACCCAGACTTGCGCACATTGGGGAACCGGAAAGAGGTAAATACAAAAACCAAGGGAGAGAAAAGAGAAAATTTTGATGCTGTGAAAAAGAGAAGAGGCTTCAGAGCCCTGCTCTGTAGGGACCACCTACATCCACCACCAATCCTTGTCTTTCCTAAAACTCCACTACATTGTAAGAAATCTTCAGGGGAAAGACCTGAATCTTTTAAATTTTTATTTGAAATATATCAGGGCCTTTAGGAGAAAATAAAATGCCTCATCTGCTACTTTCTGAGGGCTGGGTTTTAAGGTCAGCACAGTCATTTGCCCCCAGAGCAAAGCAAGGCTCCCTTCAGCAAGCTGAAATGCCACTCAAGGAGATTTTCCTTTCCCTGTGTGTCCCAGGCTGCCTTACATTCACTGGGTCGCTCTTTATGATGATGGTAATGTGTGGAAGGGGGAATTCTGAAGCTCTAGGTTCTAACTCTGGGCTACCCTCTGGTGAAGTGGGCTGGCATCAGCTCTGAGCTAAAAAACAGTCTTCCTGCCTAAAGAAGTGTGTGCACTTGGCCCTTGGATGATGACACGGTTAGAAAACTGCAGAGATTTATGGACCTTGCACACACATTTCAGTTAGCCAGGGTACCAAGGGCAAGATCTCCATCTAGCAGACATGAGACCTAAATCAGAGTCCCTCCACCAGCTAGTCAGTGCGTGCCCCTAATAAAGCTGCCACCTTGTCAAAGATGATCAGTTAGGGAATGAGACCTGGCTTTCTTGGAAGCAAGGAAAGGTGGTACTGCTGCTCTCTGACTGGGATGGCCTTAAGATTCCCTTCACCTTCACAAAACTTTACAAAGCCTTCTACCCTATTGTGGCTCCTGGACCTCCCTTTTCTCAGAGCATTTTAGCAGACTTTCAATTATAAGTTCTTTCTCTGACCAGCATGTTAAGACCTAACTCTTCTCCTCACCTCTTGTCAGTTTTACAACTCAAGAATGGCTTTCTCAGTGTCTTAGTTACTTTTCTTTCATTGCTGAGACAAAATACCCAACATCCAAAGTTAAAGGATGAGAGGTTTATTTGGCTTTCAGTTCTTAGAGGTTTCAGTCCATAATTAGCTGGCTCCAAGGCAGGGTGGCACAGGGGCAGCAGTTCATGTAGCAAAGCAACAAGAGACTTTAACAGCATCTTTCGGCACCTTTTATCCCAGTCTACCGGGATTAGGGCGCTGACAAAGTAATCACTCACAAGGGTTAGTAACCACACACCTTAATCCCAGCATCACACAAACATACACTCTGGATTTAGCCCCAATTTATGACTGCATGAGGCTTTGGGGGGACATCTAGACACAAGCCACAACACTCAGGGACAGGGACAAGGGAGGCATCCCTTTGGAATGTAATTATCAAGAAAGATTGTACCCTATCTCCCAGTCTTGGGGAGGGCAGGGGCCTAACTTTAACAAGTTCCCTTTAGCACTTACTGATGATCTCATTCCCTTGACCAGGCTCCTATCCCAGCATCCCCCAGTACTTTTCTACTAGCTCCTCAGTGCTTAACAACATTTTTTTGGTTCAGAGGAGTTGATCAGACTCTGCCTCCCCCACTGTAATGATCTTGCATATATTCTTCCTGGCCTCTTTATGGCTGATGCTATTTTTCTTTGACACCTCCTTTTCTCTCAGTCCCACAGAAGGCTCTCCTTAACACAGTCCCTAACACCAGTTTTGGCACAGGAAGGGAAAATGCAAGAAAAATATGCATCCTGTCTACTGCTTGTCAGTTCTTGTCCTCAAACAAATCATCTAATCATACTGGCCCTCAGGCAGCAAACCCAGTGAAGTCCATGAAATGTTTTATCCAGGTGCCCTACAGAAGTCCAACCCCTTTATTACTGATATTATATCTGGGCTTTCCCTGGTCTCCAGATGGGAGCCACCCCTTCTGCTTACTCTTCCTCCCAGGCTAACAAGGAGTCCTGTTCTAAAATGAAACAGCCAGCATCCTTCTCTGCTAAATCCCTCCAGATCACTTAACACCTAAAAAGATATTAGAAGACAAACAGATGGCTGAGAGGAGGAATTGGACTTGTGTTAGAAGGACAAGGAAGAAGGAAACCAAAGAAAAGTTTCTTCACAAATTTATACACACTAACAACTCCACACTATTGGGCTAGATCACCTTGATAAAGTTTTAATGTTTCTAATTTTGGTCATTTGCTTGGGATAATTATTGAATGAATAATATTGCTTTGTGTTGCTAAGGTCCTTTGTGGTGTCAGGAACATTACTAAAAGAAAGCATATGTTTTCTTTCACATTACTGCCATTCTAAACATAGGTAGTCGAGGGCTGGCATGATGTCATTAAAGACATAAGATCTCTCTCTGCCTAGCCATTCTTGGCAAGGGTGCCTCATAGCAACAAAATGGCTTCTGGGGGTCCAGCCATCCATCTACATTTGAGGCAAGAAGAAGGTAGAAACAAATAGCAAAAGAGCACGTTACCCTTTAAAAAGTTTTGCAGATAATATAACCAATAAATTTCCTTTATTTCTTAATGACTAGAGCATCCTAGGAAGCTAGGACATTTTTAAAGTTTGGTATATTATACATTTTGAAGGGAAAGTGGGAGGGGTAGGGGAAAGGAATAAATATGAGAAAAGGAAAAAATAGAAACAAAGTCTTTGTAAATAGTGAAGGGTGGAGCGGTTGAAGGCAGGGCAGGGGAATGGGGAAAAAAATAAGAACTAAGATATATAATGTAAAGGTACAAATTCCCAATAATGAATATCAGCATATTGTATACCTAACACGTACCAATAAAATTAATTTTTTTAAAAGTTAGGTATATTACAAATGAAAAGTTGTTTTAATATGAAAAAAAAGAAAATTGATAGGTAACTAATGGTTTCCTATGCAAACCTTGACTCTGTAAATTAAATTAGGGTACTGCATCTGAAAACCAGCTATAAGTGACCCTCAGCCATTAAGTCCTGGTAGTTTTATCATATATGATCTTTTTAATCAACTCAATTTTATCTCAGCTCACTATTCCCAAACCCAGGTTCTCATGAGGTTTCAAGTGACCTTCTGACTCTAATATCACCTTTTTCAAATCTACTTTCCACATGACTGTCCAAGTGAACTATCTAGAAAAACTCAAGTCTAGTGGCTTCATCTCTCAAGTAGACTGAATTATTGCTCATGATTCAGCATACCCTCACCATAGAAGTACCACTCTTTTCAGTAAGTCTCCCCCCATGAAGTTGTAGCACCTCCCACTTGAGGAAGCAGACTTGACCACCCCTCCTCAGTGGTATTGCCCTTGGCCACATGACTTGCTTTCCTAATAGAATATGGGTGCACCAATGAGGTACTAATAATAATGGAAACCTCTCCTGGTATCTGTGTTACTCAAGGATACCTCTGTAAGCCTCTACAAGTACTTTGATTTATGCAGCTTCACAAACCAAACATTTAGGAGCTTTCTGTACTTTAATCACAGTATCTGTTGGGTATTATGGCAGAAACTGCCAGAAAGTGTTCATAAACTACCAAGATCACTGATGGAAGAGAGGCTCAGCCAGCCTGGCCCTCAGGATGCTGAAGTCCCAGCTGTCTTTTTGGCTCACGGAAACAGCTGTTCAACCCTCCCTAGTCTTGGACTCAGCCACATTCTGTGAGTAGGGCAAAGCATACATCCCATGGAAGAAAACCTAAAGCAGAAGATATTCAGAAGCCTATATCTTCTGTTGCCAGTTAAAGAGAAGGGACATACCTATATGTAATGATCCCTGGATCAGTAACACTATTTCCACTATTAACCCACTTTGAGCTCTCTACTCTGCGGATTCTTAACCTTACCTGTGTATTAACAATTATCTGGAGAGTTTAAAACATGCCAGTGCCTGGGCCCCTCCTGAGAAATTTCCAATAGGTCAGGGTGCAGCCTGGGCATTGAGGTTTTTAAAAATTCCTCATGTGATTCTAATGTGATTTTAATGTGCCAAAGTTTCTGAAGTACTATTGTAAATGGCCTCTTATATCCTGTTCAGTAGAAAAATATAATAGAAACCACAAAAGCAAGCCACAAAATGTAATTGTAATTTTTCTAGTGCTCACATTTTAAAAGTGATACTAATTTTAACACTAATTGCTTTATTTGACCTACTATATTCAAAATGTTATCATTTCAACATGGAATCAACACAAAAATTATTAAAATACTTAACTTTTATTTTTAGTAAGTTTTCAAAATCTCATTTACAGCACATCTCAATTTAGACAAGCCACATCTCAAGTGCTCAACATCTACAGGGGACCCACTAGTCCCATTAGCTGCCATATTAGAGATCACAGCTGAAGACTTTTACATCTAAGGGGTGGCAAGATGGGGTTGACACCTGTAGTGAGCTAAATAATGTCCCATCCAAAAGATAGTCACCATGAGCTAATTCTTGGAAACTCTGAATCTTACCTTTTGTAGAAAAAAATAAAGGACTCTATAAATATGATTGCTTTAATGATCTTAAAATGAGGAGATTACCCATGTTTTACTTTTCTCATTGATGAAACAAAAATATATGAAGCTTAGAGGTAAAGGAGGAAAGGTTTATTTGACTCACA